AGACAAGAGATGATAGATCAGATGTGAGGGGTGAAGGAAATAAATGTATGAATAAACCAGGATATTCCTAGCCTTTGTTTGTGAAACTGGGTAGTTGGTGATTTAATATACTGTACTGAGATAGTCAAGTCTGGAGAATAAGCAGGTTTGGGAATAATTCAGTAATTGGGTCTCATTTGCATTTGACATTCCTATGAAATAAGTAAAGACTTCACAAAGACAGCTAGGTACGTGAGCCTACAATCTACTTATTTGTGTTCAAGTAATTAATGTACTTTAGAAGATTAAACTAAAGAAGATTAGGGGTTAATAGACACAACTGGATAACAATGTATATAAACAGAAGGGTGTATAAGCTATGAGCCTCTTTAAATTGATAAAGAGTTATTATTTTAGAGATGAGACTCTTACCATTGATGATTAGAATAATTATCTATGAGAAATTTAAGGGCACAGACTGTTTCAGATTGCCTGCCTATCAATGACAGCCTCCTCACTTACCAACTGAATAACACTGAGCAAATCATTTAACCATTTAGTACCTCAATTTCCTCATCTATAAAATAGGAATAACAATAGCTAACTATCTCATGGTGTATTTATGAAGATTAAATAAGCTAATACATGTAAAGCAATCAAAACAGTACCTGTCACATAATAAGCACTCAACAAATCCAAGTCAGTATTATTATAAACAGTCTCCCACACTCTACAGAGAAGTGTCTTCACACCAGTTTTCTAGTTAGATGCTAGATAACAGATGGCATCAAAGATTCAGAATGAGCTAGGGAAAGCAATATGAAAACCCACCTAAAAGAAGTGGAGGCTAAAAGTTTTGCAGAATTGTTGAGACCATCCTCTTTAACCATATGTTTGCCAGTCATTTCTAAATCTGTAGCTACAGTCCTGACCCAACCCTGGAGCTCTAGAGCCAGCTGCCTAATGGACACTTGACTGGGTAATTTAATAGGCATGTTATTGGAATAAAAAGGGGAAACAATCTGTGTTCTCTTCAGTTAGTGAATGATTAAGTGACCACCTCAAACTCCAGAAACTCTCAACTCTGCTCCATAAGTCAGGAAATCCATGCAATGAATGACCTCTGTTTTCAGCTTCATACTGAGTCAACTACATGAAATCTCAGGTAGCTACATCTGCTCACTTTATCATTAATGTTTTGCAATCATGATTCTACTGCATGTATTGTTTACTATAAATTAGTTCAAATAATTTCTTAATTTTGGGGGCAGAGAATAAGAAAATAAATGAAATAAAATATCAGATGCCATGCGATGACACCTAGGCTCTGCTGCCTGAAGTACAATGCACTGCTCTCTCCTCAAAGGAAGCAACTCTCAGCTATCTTATCCTGGGCCATGACTCCAATCACCACCAATGATGTCACCAATAGGGTGATCAGACATCCCAGATGGACAAGGGCAGTCCCAGCAAAATTCTAATAGCAAGGCCATCCACTGTAGATTGGATGAGAAATTATATATCTACTTATGTTATGATTACCAAGAGCTCTGCACAGCATTATTCATTCATTCAGCAAATATCTACCAAACATCAAGTGCCAGGCCCCATGTCGGGCTCCAGTATAATTCAGGATTCTAATATAAAAATGACAGATTTTGAAGAGCCATAAGATGTATACAAAATGGGTCGTATTTAGATCAAGATCTTCAGTAAGAGTCGCTGAATTACATCCCATATCTAAGAAGACATGAGAACAACAAAAACATAGTACATTTTCTTAGACATACAATAAAGAGATAACTGGATACATTAGACAGGTGATATACACAGTGTAAAACCAACAAATACTTGTTGAATAAATGACTAAAATGCCCCATCGTTTTGTCATCATGGGTGTGAATTGGGAACAGGTGATAAGGAAAGATGTTTATTTTTATAGGCAAGTAGCATAATACATAACAAGAATAAAAGCATCATAACTGCCCTGGCCAGTTTGTCTCAACAGTAGAGCTTCAGCCCACAGATTAATGAGTCGTGGGTTCGATTCTGGCCAAGGGCATATACCTCGAGTGCAGTTCATCCCCAGACCTGGTCAGGGTCGTTTGGGAGGCAACCAGTCAATGTGTCCCTCTCACACTGATGTTTCTCTCTCTCTCCCTTTCTCTCCCTCTCTCTCCCTCCCTCCCACTCTATCTGAAGATAAATAGAAAAATATCCTTAGGTGAGGATTTTTTTTAAAAGCATCATAACTATCTTTTCTTTTTTCCTAATTTAAAGCACTATTTCTCCTTTGACCCTCAAAACAAAACATAATTTATACATTTTAGGCTGATCTTTCCTTATTAACGTAGGAAGAATAGGAAATCTGAATTGGTTCAGCTGTGATTTCTTCCGAACAAGGAAATAGTATACAGATTAGGTAGGCAAGCTACCAGTAAATAATCACTCAAGCAGATATCAAGGAAGCTTATATGCTCACTTTACTTAAATACAGTTAACAATGCAAAGGCCTCTGACAAATTTAATGCTAGTAATTTTCAAAGCTTAGTTTTACAACTAGAGGGAATCTAAGAAGTAAGGTCATCCTGGCGAATCTAACATATTATCCTGTTGGGGATTCTGGCAACTTAGATGAAGGAGGCTGTAGCACTTTAAAGTTCTACTACATTCAATGTTTAGAACTGTTGGTGGGTAAAAATCCTAAAAAGATAATGCCTAAGGACCCCTCATTTTACTTTACAGATCATGATACTGAGGCCCAGAGTAGCCAGGAGTAATAGTGGGGAAACTGTGACAGAAAGTCAGGCACACTTGACCTACCTCTTCCCAGACCTTTTGCTTGCTGTGTATTCCTAAGAATACTACTTTTCTTTTCATCTATAAAAATGGCACTTACCTTTTAAAGATGTTAAAAAGATGAAATAAATTCCTATTTATGAAAACATCAGCATATAATTTATGCTCAATACAAGTTGATTTCCCTTCTTCCAAAGGGTAACTGACTTCAGAGACACATAGCTAGTGAGGGGCAAGAGGCAGGACTAGAATCAAGAATTAGGATCTCACCCTGGCCGGTTTGGCTCAGCGGTTAGAGCATCAGCCCACGGACCAGAGAGACCTGGGTTCAGTTCCCACTAAGGGCACGAACCTCGGTTGCAGTTTGTACCTGGCCTCGGTTGGGGTTGCATGGGTGGCAACCAGTCGATGTGTCTCTCTCATATCAATGTTTCTCTCTCTCTCTTCCTCCCTCTCTCCCTCCCACTCTATCTGAAGATGAATGCAAAAAAGAAAAAAGTCTTTGGGTGAGGATAAAAAAAAAAAAAGAATTAGGATCTCCTGCTCTGACCAGTGTGGGCCAGTGGTTGGAGCATCGGCCCATGCACTGAAGGGTCACAGGTTAAATGCTTGGTCAAGTGCACATACCTGGGTTGTAGGTTCAATCCCCAGTCCTGGTCAGGGTGCATGCAGAAGGCAACCAATTGTATTTCTCTCTCTCTCTCTCTCTCCCACCTACCCTCCCTCCCTCCCTCCCTCCCTTTCACTCTCTCTAATAATCAATGGAAAAACTATCTTCGGGTGAGGTTAACAACAACAAAGAATAATTAGGATCCCCTTCAGCACTAGAAAAGATTTTTACTTTTTAAATGGTCTCTGTCCTTGAATCATACCATAAAATATAGCTTTTAACTCCTGAGTTAAAGGGGGAAGGATTATTAAGGTAAATATGGGACACCACAGCCTACAAAAAAAGATATTTGTGCCTTGAGACACAGAGATGCATTTGCTAGAAACAAAGTTGCAAAGCAGTCAGGAAGTTTAATTCAGGAAGCATACATTGGCTACTTTTTAAAAAATAACATCTGCTCAAGATTATATATGTATCCCATTAATTTAGGATCATTTCTATTGGTAAAGTACTCTATATTAATATAATAGCATTAATGGAGAAAAATCTTTTATTAAAGAACATTTGTATAAAAAAGTGACATCTGCTCAGTTTGTACCTGAACGCTGCCCTTGTGGAAACATAATTTAGTAGAGTTTTGTTTTTTTTAACAGGTATTTTACAACTCATATTTCAACATTAGGTTTGCAGCAAATATGTATCAAGTGCAGATCGTGTGCAGGGCCCTGTGGACTATACAGACATAAATTAGACTTTGGTTTTGTCCTAAAAAAACCTCATAAGCTAATAGAGAAGAGGACAGAAGAAAGACAAAGAATGTAATTGTTTATTGAGCCTTGTGGTACATGAAAAGAAAAGTTCAAGGCCAGACCTATGGTGAGGCGTTCTTAATGCTACCTACTCTAGGATAAATGTCCACAGCATTGGCAGTGGGCACACATAGCACAGTAAACATCGTTTGAATTGTGTTCACTGAGTTCTAGTCTTATCTCTGACACTAGTTATGTTAAGTGTCATCTGTAAAATGAGTTCAAACGGATGATCTCTAAGCCTCTTTGAGGCTCTAACAATCCAAATTACATCATGTGATGGTGATAGCAAGAAAAACTATAGCTTATATTTACCACGCATATATTATGTGCCAAACACTGTGCTAAAGTGCATCGTTTATATTATTTTCATTTAATCTTCACAACAACCTAATGAAATTGCCATTATTATTACTATCCTTATTTTACAGAGGGGGAAAGGGAAAAACAGTATTAGGGGGCTGAAGTTGCGATTTGAAGAGCAGCAGTCTGAACCTAATCCAGGAGTTATTCTTAACCACTACACCCAAATTGTGTCTTCACGAAAACCGTTTTATCCGTTAAGAAATAAGGAAAAGAAAGAGTTTGGAAAAGGTCCTTCCTGACGGGCGGCAGACCTGACTTAACGTCATACTTGTCTGCTCCACGTGTTAGCAAGTCTCAGCACCTCCTGCGCGACGCGCGCGCTCCCACCGCTGTGCGCACCACAGCTGGACTGGACCGGGGACGGCAGAGGCGGCCCGGGCTCAGGCGCGCGGAAGGGCTCGGGGCAGGCCACGCAGGAGCGCGGGCAGGGTGGGTACCTGGGCTGCTGGCTGCTCCTGTCGGCTGGTTCTCCCACCAATCGTCTCCAAGATCGTCTGCCATCTCCACGCGGTCCTCGACGTGGGCGCACCACTAGGGAAAAGCTTACGGTAGCAGAGACTCGCTGTCTCTGAGCCGGGTCTGGCGTAGCAGCACCGACAGCCTCTCCTCGGACAGCGTCGTCTCCGCCCCGCAGCGACGGCGTCAGAACCTCCGTCCCGCCTCCCGGGCAGCCGCGCCCAATTCGTCGCAGTTTCCACACCTGGGTTCTTGGCAAGGATTGGTTTAGTGACTCAAAATAAATCCCCACCAAAGCACAAAGACAAGAATACACATAAACAAAAATAAAATTATATTTTTAATTGAACGGTTTTAAAACTTCAGGTTTTATTTTTGCAGAGAGAATATTGTCGAAAGTGTGAAACAGGATGCTAAGACAATTTTTTCTCTGCTCAGTTTCAAAGACTTGGAGCCGCGGGACAAGACCCGGGCACGTGGCTGTGTATTCGATTGTGTGTCGGTGTCTGTGGCGTCCTTGTGTTTGTACAGTTTGCTCTTATAAAACGTGCACAAGAATCCTGACCACGAATGTTGGGCCTTTGTTGTAGATGTGCGTATACTGCTCTTTTTATACGATATGAATAAAGAAAATGATTGGTCCGGAAGGGCTCGCCCACGGAAAAACCAGGTTGTCCCAAGAGTTTAGAATCAACCCCTCACCCCCCCTTCCGTTGCATTCCCCTTCTGCCCCCCCCCCCCCCCCGTTTTTCTGAAACGGGAGAAGCGAGCCCATTGCCACCTAACCATAGGTAACAGACCTACAGTGCTTGTCTCACTTTCAACGTGAAGTGGCAGAGATGGGCAAGGAAAACCTGACTGGAGCCAGCTGTAAAGTAAGTGTGGATGAGATTTTCAGGCTGGACTTCGTACCCAGCAGTAAAAATAATAGAAGAAAAGTATTAAATACACGAAATGTGGCTGGCAGTGGAATAGTGGTTTAAAGATGTGTAAGATATGATTGTGCCTTCTAGATTCAACAACGAGAGTAGAGGACATAGAACTTGAAAGACTGAAGGTATACAACTAATGATGGGGTACATCCTGGTAAATATTCAAGAATTTTAATCTGATGAGGATGGGATTAGTCGTAAGTGAACAATTACCCAAAAGCCACCTAATAGGTGGCTTATAAATGCATTACAGATTAGACTTGATCAGTGCCCTAAAGAAAAATTGGTGTAAAAGTAGCAAGGTAAAATCATCTGTAATCATAAAAATTAATGTCTTTCATGACGAAATATAAATGGCAGAAGGCTATGATGGTTGATAGATTATTGAAAAGGAAAATTGGATAAGAAATACCAATGTGAAAGAGGAAATGCCATAAATAATAAATATATGAAAAAGATGTTCTGTCTCATTATTCATCTGAGAAATAAAAAAAAAAATTAAAAAAAACTACATTGAAATCTGTTTTTTTTCATTCAGTAAATTGACAAAATTAAAAAGGCTGGGAATACCAAATGCTGGAGTGTATGTACATCAATAGGAATTTTTACATATCATTGTCCTGAATGTAAATTGGTATAACCGCTTGGAAAAGCAATTTGGCAAAATCTTGTAAATGTCAACATACACACGTTTCATCAATTTCCCCTCCTAAATATATACACTTGGGAAACTCTTGCATAAGTGTACCAGGAAACTATAAAAGAATATTCATAGCAGCACTGTTAATAACAGCAAAAAAAGTGGAAACACCCAAATGTGTTTGTATAGGAAATGGATAATTAAAACATAATACAGCCATACAATTAAGCAGAATAAATCAATGAGTATACATAATAACATGGATATATTTTGGAAACAATGCTGAGTTTTAAAAAGCCAAGTACTTACACCATACACAAGAATAAACTCAAAATGGATAAAAGACTTAAATGTGACTCATGAATCCATAAAAATTCTAGAAGAAAATGTAGGCAACAAAATTTCAGACATCATACGCAGCAGAATTTTCACTAATACATCACCTAAGGCAACAGAAACAAAGGAGGAAATGAACACATGGGACTACATCAAACTCAAAAGCTTCTGCACAGCAAAAGATACAATCATCAAAATGGAAAGGCAACCCACTGTATGGGAGAGCATACAAAAGGAAGACAAAGAACCCAATTTAAAAATGGGCAGAGGAACTAAATAGACACCTCTCCAAACAGGACATACAAATGGCTAAGAGACATGTGAAGAAATGCTCAACATCACTAATCATCAAAGAGATGCAAATTAAAACAACTACGTGGTATCACTTCACACCTGTCAGAATAGCAGCCATCAACAAATTATCAAACAACAAGTGTTGGCGAGGGTGTGGTGAAAAGGGGACTCTAGTACACTGCTGGTGGGAATGCAGACTGGTGCAGCCACTATGGAAAACAATATGGTGTTACCTCAAAAAGTTAAAAATTGAACTTCCATTTGACCCAGTGATCCCACTTCTAGGAATATACCCTAAGAAGCCTGAAACACCAATCAGAAAGAATATATGTACCTCCCCATGTTTGTAGCAGCACTATTTACAATAGCGAAGATCTGGAAACAGCCCAAATGTCCATCAGTAGACGAATGGATAAAAAAGCAGTGGTACATATACACAATGGAGTACTATGCAGCTGTAAGAAAGAAAGATCTCTTATCCTTTGAGACCACATGGAGAGACCTGGAAAGTATTATCGTAAGCGAAACTAGCCAAACAGAGAAAGACAAGTATCATACGATCTCACTTATTTGTGGAATATAATGAACATAACAGTCTGAGGAATGGGGTAGTCCCAGAGACGTGGAAGTGGGGTACAGACTGACAATCTCCAGAAGAGGGGGTGGTGAGGGAGAGATAAACCATATTCATATATGCATGGACATGGACAACAAAGCTGGGGACAGGGCGGGGAGGGAGGGGGGAATCAGTGGGGGGAAAAGGAGAAACATCTGTAACAAAAATTAATTAATTAAAAATAAATAAATAAATAGCCAAGCACTAGATGCCATTTTATGAAGTCCAAATACAAGGAAAATTAAAAATTGTTTAGGCAAAAAAATGCATATGTGATTTTAAAGTAAGAAAATGGTAAGCACAAAAATTAGCATGTTTCAGGTACCTCTCTAAACACTTTATATCTTAATTTATCTGACCATTATAACTCCATTGAGGCACTGTGTTGAATTGGATATTCTTTATTTAACACTGTCTACCTTTCTATGCCCTAGAAGGCTGATGCAAATGTCCCCTGAGCTTTGGGTTCAGCAAATTGGAGGCATCAGTAAGGAAAATGACACCCTATGTGTTCTAAGGCTGGGACCAGGGTGAGGCAGCAGAGGCCTGTGATACAATATTTAAGGAGGCACTCACTCTCAGGCTGGCAATTCCACAAACCCAAGAGCGTTTGCCCCTTTAAATGTGCTCCGGGGTGCCTACTTGCTTTACTCCAGTCCTGGCCCTCACCCCTCTACCAAAAACCAGAGCTCCTCCTTACTCCCTCAACTCTATTACCAGCCCTGGGGTTCTGCATCATCCCTTGTTTCCCTAACTCTAGCTTATCTTCATAGTCCTTTTACTAAATTATTTTCAATTATCCAATATAAGGTGTTCATTCCCTTCCTCCCCCCACCCAGGACTCTAATAGATACAGTCACTGCCTTAGTTTGGGTTCCCTGAAAAGAAGAACCTGTGACAAGGCATGGATGCAAGTAGTTTATTTGGGAGGTGATGGTGGGGGTGGGGAAGAAGAATAAAGGCAGGGAGAGTGAGACTAGGAAGGTGGAGTGAATTTTAAACAGGTTATTGGTATGGGCAGTAACTGGCTTTTATATCCTGTTGGGGACCCTCTGAGAAATAATGAATATAGACTGTGCCACAGAATTTTCCTCAGGAAGAAAATGCTAGGGCACTTATCCACTGACTGCCATCTATCATTGGGTGAAGATTGTCCCAGGGGACTTGAATTTCTAGCTACTCCCAGGTTATACTGCAGCAGAAGGCCGGTGCCAACTGTCAAGTGGAAAAGCATGATCTCTGGACCCATTTTCAGATATGATCCAGTTCTCAAACCCAGAGTCCATTGATTAAAGGGAATATGGAGTCCCCTGAGGAAGTTCTCTGCAACACAGCCAGAACACAGATGGGACAAAAGTAGGCTTACAGCTGTTCATATGGAAAATAACACAATTAATAAACAATAAACTCTGTCTTTTGCACACTCACAACTGTAAACCTACTTTTGCCCCACTCTGTATGCGGTATGTACTCAAACCTGTTCCAAAAGAGCCTATGACCATTTTACAGAGTAACTGTACACTGGGGAAATAGAAAGTGTCCAGCTCTTTCAATGGATGTTGGATGCAGGGAATTCGAACTGCTGCCATAAATTTGTATTAGAGTAGGACATACAGGGACCAGGTGATAGAGTCTTGGTCCAAATTTGTTTCACGGTGGCTCCAATGGATCCATCATCTTATGGTCATCTCTTCAGTTGCTGAGTGCATAATAGAGATGGCTATACTTTGCAGGTGCTAGAACCATCACATTGTCCCTCTGACCTATGAAGTAGGAACCATTAGGGTAGGAAGGCCAAGAGAAAGCCCCTAAAACTGCTTCTCCCACTCCATTTCAAAGATAGGAAGTCAGAAACACTATCTTACTCCAGTGGAACTGCAGAGATTAATGACAAACTCAAGGACGTAGAGGCTGCTGGGGGCTCAGTTTGCCAGTATGGTCCCTTCTAAATCAAATGGACCATGGCAAATGATGGTATCTTCAATTATAGAGGCTGTAGTAGACTGTTGCATCTATGGATGAATCAGTCAACATAGCCTCCAGCACTTGCTGTGTGATTTCAATCTGGCAAATGTGTGCTACTTATACTCAATTCCTATCAGGGAAGAAGATCAAAAGCAGTTTGCATTCACTTGAGAAGACTGAGCTCTGGTTCACGCAAAGCTGTGAATGCTTTCCTATGAACCCTCTCAGGGATGGTTTACTCTCCTGTTCTTTGTCATAATATAGTTCAAAAGGGCTTTATCTGACTCTTCTTCAAAACATCATTGATTCATTGTATTGATGACATAGTATTAATTGAGTCTGGGGAGCAGGAAACAGATGCC